GTAGAAAAGTGGCGTTACCTCTAGAGAGAGGGTTTTGCGAAATCTTCGCAGCCAGAAGAGACATCACTCGCCGAGCCGCCATTGTTGCTTTCGAAGGTTTCTTTATTTTGTGTTCTCTTCTTTATTCACACAGCAGACCAAAAAAAAATTCCTGAGGACAACTTATATTTAAAAAATTATTTTTAACTTACATTAAAATAATTGAAAAAAAAAAAGAGAAAAAGGGAGATGGTTATAATAAACTAGTATATAGTAATTAGTGTGAGATGCTACAGCCCGTTACAAAACTATTTCGTCGGGATTTGTAACCGTTAGACCATCATGTAACCGTCGGGGATAGTTGATCTAATGGTTACAAACTCCGACAGAATGGTTCCATAACGGGACCATATAATTTCCCGTAAATAGTAACCTCGTGTGTGAGTGTATCTTGCTCGATTTTGCATTTGAAACTTTGAAGTTGTTGCTATTTTCATTTTGCACTTAGAGGTTGAGAGCAAAACCAAACCGAAATAGAAAAATCGACCTGATCGTGTAGCATGGGTGCGGTTTAATTTTTTTAGTATTGAAAATTTTCGATTTGATTTCGTTTCGAATTGATTTCGTCTCGGTGCGATTTGATTATTATTATTATTCAAAACTTTCAGATTTTTTTTTTCAATTCAGTATGATTTTATACTAAACTGCACCAAATTAAATATAAAATGCGCAAAAAAGTTGAGGCAAGCCCAAAAATCAAGCTAAACCGTGCATTTTGGTGAAGTTCGATAATTTGGGGTGAAAAAAAGATTCGATTTGGGTGTAAAAAATCCGATCACCTCATGAGCCATCTCGAGGAGACAAAGCTTGATAGACTAATCGTTAATTTAGGGCCCCTTAAGTAAGGTATGATAAAAGAAAGTTCTTCCTCCTATTCCTCCAATCACAAAATCAAAAGACAATATTTTACATTTTCCCATCTAATCCATTGCACATACAAAAGAACAATTTCAAGGTCAACAACAAAAGTACATTTTTGCCTACTTTACACAATGCAAATCAGTCCCCAGTTCCCCTAACAAACTATCACCGTGCAAATTTCTAACTTGTGCCGATTTTCGAGCTCCCTTTTGCTCGAGATCACTAAAAAGAACTTCCCTTCCCCACATTTAAAACACGTTTTTACGCTGCAAAATGCCCAGTTTTACGTCTATGCCGACTATAATCAGACATAAACCTGAAAGTAAGCCCACACTCGTCCACTTTGCACGTATATGGCCTTTCCCCAGTATGCAGCCTTAAATGTTCGGTTCGGGCCCAGGCCCACTTAAACGACATTGTACAACCGGCCCAAGTGCATTTCAAAGGCCTGTCATCATCATGAACGCGTGCATGCTGCACTGCATATTTGTGTGAGTTGAATCTTTTCCTACAGCCTTGGACTGGGCATCTATTTCCTTTGTGCAGAATTAATTGGGCCTTCGTTTGGAAACTCATGGTGCAATTATCTAACTCACATTGATAATGGCCCATTTGCAGCTGCTTCTCGTTCTTTGAAACCACCGAGAGATTTGTGTTTTTTGATTTTCCGGTCTTGTTATCATTAGTTGGTCTTGCTCTAGACCTCAAACCCTCACATGGGCTCCTAATAAAACCGCCCAAATCGAATTGGTCAGATTGAGACGAAAGCATATCTACTTCTCTTTTCCTTTTGCTTACAGTCTTCGCATTTCGATAATCTGCAACTTTCTTCCCAGTAGAAAAGACATTTTTGCCCTTGTGTTCTTCGATTAATGTTGAGGTTGATTCACTTACAGTCTCATTATGTCCCGATATAATTTTCTCTTCCAGCTGCTCGTCAGGCTGTGATTGGGTAAAGGCATTTTCATCAGTACAGTTTGGCAGGTTACACTGTGTTGAGCCTTTTTCTTCATCATCACATCCTTCAGCAGGCTCATTCACTTCATCTATCGGGATTTCATTTACCTCGACTGCTTTTGCCTCAGAATTGCGACTTGAATTACCAATTTTGTCATCGGGGCCCCTTTTTTCTGCACAAGCACGAGCCTTGTACCTTTTTCTCGAATAGTGTATGATTTTTATCTCTTTCTTAGCCGTCGAATCATCTTCTCCCGTTGTCATCTCCTCAGATGGTATGCCAGACGACTGAACTTTTTTCGAAAAACAATTTGACCGCAATTTTTTCGACACCCATTTTATGCCGGACGCATTTAAAATTTGAGACGATGGGTCACAAAACAACCCGCCCAGATTCAATAAATGCCGAACGTTCTTTGAAGGGGTGCTCTTTTTGACCCTCACGCAGTGCTGCAAATTGATGCTCAAAAGTGAGGTCCATTCATCCACATGATTGGCTTTTTCTTCTTGAGCAATAGCAATATCGATTAAGTTCAGATCTTGCTCAGAGGCATTCACAAGTGGTATTTCGGTGTAACGGAAAGGAAGGCCGATTTCCTCTGCTGTGGATGCAGCGTGGCTTTTTATTTTCTGGAAGTCTAGAAAATTTTAGAGAGACAATCAGTATAGGGCGGCTTCCTAAAAAATAACTAATTTATGTTTTAGATAAAAAGAAATAACAATGTTGAGGTCTAGCAATATTACAAGTGAAAAAAAATTTTAATTTACAAATTCCCACGTGAGATTCACATTTCTTTACGAGTACTGAAACTTTAAAATGACAATCAAACTTTTTCCCTTGTTTTTTTAACGTCGTGAATAATATTTGCACGCGTTCCTAATATCAAGGGATGCATGCTAATATGGGACGAGCACATGCACATAAACAGACTAATTTATCCAAAACCCAAAGCCTACATTTACCTGAATGACATATCACGAGAATATTAGCTCCGCCTTTTGAACTCAATAGCTTTTCGATTTCAATCGCATGCTCCAGGCAGAAAATCCGTGGCTTTAGAGTTACATCAGAAGTGTTCCATTCACTGACAATTTCAGCTTTTGAAGATATCGTATAATGACTTGTTTCTGCCACTGATGAATCTTCATTTACACGGTGCAGAACCATCTTGTTTAACTTAGCTTTGTCAGCAACATCTGATAAAGGAAAATGTCAGGAAAAAATTCAATTGTCACATTCTCTATTGCCAAAGTAACTCTATTTCAGGTTTTTCAAGATACGTAACTCTAAAATATTACTCTGCATCCGAAGTAAAAGAACAAATACAAATTAGAAATATTACTATCAATCGAATGATATTCCCACTTCATGCTGGGTTTCCACGCAATCAACATTAAGAATGTACAAGAACATTTTGCATGTCAAGCCCAGAAAGACAACATAAACAATAACACATCATGATAATTCATGGTGAGATTAAGATCAGCAAAATACAAGCAGAGTTCTTGTAAAAAGGAGTGGGGGCCCAGATAGTATCTCGGCTCCCCTCCAATTTC